CTAGGGGCTATGTGCACATCTAAACCAACTGCAGTCTGGTTCGCACAAAGTACATGTGACGAACCGCTATATGCGATCTCTAGCGCACAGAATACCGCAAACATTCACAAATATATGCGTTCCGACAGCGGAGGAGGCGCTTCTGCCAATATTTTTTGGGTCCGTAATGTGGCTGTGGAGTTCTACATCCTTGATGTCTGCATCTTCTTCCGCACCGTCGTGTAGAGCGGCATATTTGGTCTGCCAGGTGCGAGAGGTAGAGCTCTCGGTTCAGGGTTGGCCTTGAAGCGCCAATGGAACTGTACTTTCTGGTGAGCTAGACGCTTCCTCCCATTCGCGACCTGACCATTCGTTGCATCTATCTCAATTCCTGACAAGCAACTGCGCGGTACAGCCTGATCACCTCCAGCCTTGGAGCAAAGGTACAACCGGACGCCAAAATACGGACGCCGATTCATCACCTTCCCCGTATCGTCCGGGGTCCATGTTTATGTCACCAGAGTTATTCAAGGTAAGGATCTAGAAGACCCATCTTTTAAAATAGACTCAGATATCTTAGTCGAACGTGTACAACCGAAAATTTGCCAATTTTTCCTGTTCTGGTCCAGCGGAGTTGGAGGACCATTCGCTTCAATGCTGGTGGTCTTTGCTTCTTCCAGCATGCTGACGTTTGTCCGCTTGTCTTCCCAAGAGATTTGCAGGATTTTCTGGAGGCAGCGCTGATGGAATCGTTCCAGGAGTTGCATGTGACGTCTGTAGACAGTCCATGTCTCATAGGCATACGACAGGGTTGGGAGGACAATAGCTTTATGAACAAGCCCCTTGGTCTCCCTACGGATGTCCCGGTCTTCAAACACTCTCTGCTTCATTCGGAAAAATGCTGCACTTGCAGAGCTCAGGTGGTATTGTATTTTGGTGTCGATGTTGAATTTGTGGAGTGGTGCCTGCCAAGGTAGCGGAAATGGTCAACATTTTCTAATGTTACACCATTAAGCTGTATCACTGGCATTGGAAAGGGGTTGGCTGGTGTCTGCTGGAACAGCACCTTGGTTTTTTCAATGTTCAATGACAGGCCGAGCTTCTCGTATGCTTCTGCAAAGGTGTTTAGAGTGGCTTGTAGGTCTTCTTCTGAATGCACACAGACCACATTGTCATCAGCATACTGGAGTTCTATAACAGATGTTGTTGTAACCTTGGTTTTGGCTTTCAGTCTGCTGAGGTTAATAGCTTGCCATCTGTCCGATAGATGATTTCCACTCCGGTGGGAAGCTTCCCATCAACAAGGTGAAGTATCATAGCGATGAAGATGGAGAATAAAGTTGGGGTAATAACACATCCCTGTTTGACACCCAGTTCCACCTTAAATGGGTCACTTTGGGAGCCACTGCTGTCCAAAACTGTTGCCATCATGTCATCATGGACGAGCCGCAGGATGTTCACAAATTTGTTAGGGCACCCGATTTTTTGGAGGATGGTCCAGAATCCCCCCCCCCCCCCCCCCGGTTTCAGTCCGGAAACAGGCTAGAGATGGAGAAACCAGAGCTTGCCAAAGGCAGTGAAAACTCAAACACACTTATCTCGCTATTACATAAGTCAAGCAAAGGCTGAGCTGGCAATTACTTTGGGAATCAATTCCAACCCATTTGCAACCTTTTACTACACAGGTTCCAGGAAAAACGCACCACGAGCACTTTGAATAATCGTCGCCATAATAATAAAAAGGAAGCAGCGGTGGGTGTAGTCGCTCATGCTGTTTCGGAGGAAAACTGACTCAAGGCTCCCGTCATCCAGGAATCAGGGCGATTAGGCTTTGAACCCAGATCCACTTCGAGAGAGAGAGAGAGTTTTGCCTTGGGACGTATCAGAGCAGTGGTTCTGAACCTTCCTAATGCCGCAGCCCCTTAATATGGTTCCTCATGTTGTGGTGACACCCAACCATCACATTATTATAATGTAAATATCTGATATGCAGGAAGTTTTTTTCATTCACTGGACCAAATTTGGTATAAATACCCAATATGTCCAAATCTGGTGAGGTTGGTGGTGATTGATTTTCTCATCTGGGAGTTGTAGTTGCTGGGATGTATAGTTAACCTACAATCAAAAAGCATTCTGAACTCCATCTACGATGGAATTGACCCAAACTTGGCACGCAGAACTCCCATGACCAAGAGAAAATACTGGAAGGGTTTGGTGGGCATTGGCCTTGAGATTGGGAGTTGCAGTTCACCAACATCCAGAGAGCACTGTGGCCTCAAACAATGATGGATCTGGACCTACCTTGGCATGAATACTCAATATGCCAAAATGTGAGCACTGGTAGAGTTTGGGGGAAATAGACCTTGACATTTCTGAGTTGCAGTTGCTGGGATTTCTAGTTCACCTACAACCGAAAAGCATTCTGAACCCACCAATGATATAATTGGGCCAAACTTGGCATACAGAATTCCCATGACCAACAGAAAATACAGGAAGGGTTTGGTGAGCATTGACCTTGAGTTTGGAAGTTGTAGTTCACCTACATCCAGAAAGGATTGTGAACTCAAACAATGATGGATCAGGACAAAATTAGGCATGAATACTCAATATGTCCAAATGTGAACACTGATGGAGTTTGGGGAAAATAGACCTTGACATTTGGGAGATGTAGTTGCTGGGATTTATAGTGCACCTACAATCAAAAAGCATTCTGAACTCCACCAACGATGGAATTAAACTAATCTTGGCACGCAGAACTCCCATGACCAACAGAAAAAAGTGGAAGGGTTTGGTGGGCATTGACCTTGAGTTTTGGAGATGTAGTTCACCTACATCCAGAGAGCACTGTGGACTCAAACAGTGATGGGTCTGGACCAAACTTGGCACAAATACTCAATATGCCCAAATGTGACCACTGGTGGAGTTGGGGAAAATGGACCTTGGCATTTGAGAGTTGTAGTTGCTGGGATTTATAGTGCACCTACAATCAAAGAGCCTTCCCAACCTTGTCAGTGTATAATAGCATTGAATGTTTGCCATATATGTGTTCTGTGATTCGCCCTGAGTCCTCTTCGGGATGAGAAAGGCGGACTATAAATACTGTAAATAAGTAAATAAATAAACCTTAAAATCTTTTCTGAAGCCTCTGATGGACAGCAAGACGAGTTCATCACTCCATTAGAGAGCGACATCCTTGTGAGGTAGTCCTTCATGCTTTTAGGGATGAAAGGGGTCTCGTCGTTCTCTGTTTTTCCTTTTCCTCCAGGATTACCTCTGTTGTGTTTTTCTTGCAGGCAGGTTGCTTTGACTCTCTTATCTTTGATATGACATAAAGGGTTCGTTTCCCTCCTCCTCCTCCTCGATGCGCTAGTAATCCCTTGGGAGTGATGTACTGTACATTATGGTAATGTGTCCTTAGATGTTCCCGGCGCAGCGAAGGTAATCCAAGGCAGGAAAGGTGAGCTTGCAGGGGCCTCTGCAAGGCATTTGGGGAGCTGTTTGCTCTCCTCAGCTCTTAAGGCAGAATTTCTCAATCTGGGGATCGGGACCCCTGGGGTTGCAAGGTGTCAGGGGGATCACCAAAGACCATTAGAAAACAGTACTTTCTGTTGGTCATGTGGGTTCTGTGTGGGAGGTTTGGCCCAATTCTATCGTTGGAGGGATTTAAGGGGCTCTTTGATTGTAGGTGAACTATAAATCCCAGCATCTTCAAGACCCAAATGTCAAGATCTATTTTCCTCAAACTCCACCAGTGTTCACATTTGGGCATATTGAGTATCCATGCCAAATGTGGTTCAGATCCATCATTGCGTGAGTCCACAGTGCTCTCTGGATGTAGGTGAACTACAACTCCCAATCTCAAGGCCAATGCCCACTAAACCCTTCCAATATTGGTCATGGGAGTTCTGTGTGCCAAGTTTGGATCAATTCTATTATTGGTGGAGTTCAGAATATACTCTGATTGAAGGTGAACTATAAATCCCAGCAACTACAATTCCCAAATGTCAAAGTCTGTTTTCCCCAAACTCCATCAGTATTCACATTCGTGTATATTGAGTATTTGTGCCAAGTTTGGTCCTGATCCATCATTGTTTGAGTCCACAATGCTCTCTGGATGTAGCTGGACTACAACTCCTAATCTCAAGGCCAAAGTCCACCAAACCCTTCCAGTATTTTCTGTTGGTCATGGGAGTTTTGTATGCCAAGTTTGATTCAATTCCATCGTTTGTGGAGTTCGGAATGCTCTTTGATTGCAGGTGAACTATAAATCCCAGCAACTACAATTCCCAAATGTCAAAGTCTGTTTTCCCCAAACTTCACCAGTATTCACATTTGGGTATATTGAGTATTTGTGCCAAGTTTGGTCCTGATCCATAATTGTTTGAGTCCACAGTGCTCTCTGGATGTAGGTGAACTACAACTCCCAGCCTCAAGGCCAATGCCCACCAAACCCTTCCAGTATTTTCTGTTGGTCATGGGAGTTCTGTGTCCTATCGTTGGTGGAGTTCGGAATGTTCTTTGATTGTAGGTGAACTATAAATCCCAGCAAATGACATACTCAACCCCACCAGTATTCAAATTTGGGTGTATTGGGTATTTGTGTCAAATTTGGTCCAGTGAATAAAAATACATCCTGCATATCAGAGGATTCACATTACGATTCATAATGGTAGCAAAATGAAGTAGCAACGAAAATAATGTTATGGTTGGGGGTCACCACAACATGAGGAACTGTACTAAGGGTCTTGCAGCTTTAAGAAGGTTGAGAACCACTATCTTAAGGGCATGTCTACTCTGTCAAATTGATGCAATTTGACTCCACTTTAATTATTATGTCTCAGTGTGACAGAACCTTGGGTTCTGTAGTTTGGTGAGGCACAACACTCTTGAGCAGAGCAGGCTTAAGAGCTCCTAAAATTGCTCCTCCTGTGATTGCACAGCATTGAGTTGCTGAAGTTAAAGTGGTGCAAATGCCTTAATGTGACAGTGTAGATGCACTCTCCAATACCCCCAAAACTTACCAGTGACTCCGTAGGAAATTGAGGAGTAAGATGGTGGCTCCCAAACAGTAGCAAGCCACATAAGGAGACCGGAAGAGGCGAGTGAGCGACCGAGTCCTGTGCTCCCATCTGGCCATCTAAAAAGGGCAACAAAAAGGGATATAACAACAACAACCACAACAACAACAACAACAAGGAATTCATGGCTGGAGTCACAGGATTGCTGTGAGTTTTCCAGGCTGTATGGCCATGTTCCAGAAGCATTTTCTCCTGACGTTTCTCCCACATCTATGGCTGGCATCCTCAGAGGTTGTGTTGGAAACTAGGCAAATGGGGTTTATATATCTGTGGAATAATGTTCAAGGTGAGAGAAAGAACTCTTGTCTGTTTCAGTGTGAATGTTGCAATTGGCCACCTTGTTTAGCATTGAATGGCCTTGCAGCTTCAAAGCCTGCCTGCTTCCTGGACAAAACGTCAGGAGGGAATACTTCTGGAAATATGGCCATGCAGCTTAGAAAATGCACAGAAACATAATAATAATAATAATAATAATAATAATAATAATAATAATAATAATAATGTTGATGATGATGGTGATGATGATGGTGATGGTGATGGTGATGATGTGTTGTTGAAGGCTTTCATGGCCGGAGTCACGGGATTGCTGTGAGTTTTCCGGGCTGTATGGCAATGTTCCAGAAGCATTATCTCCTGACATTTTGGCCACATCTATGCTGGCATCCTCAGAGGTTGCAAGTTCTCTTGGAAACTAGGCAAGTGAGGTTTATATATCTGGAATAATGTCCAGGTAGGAAAAAGAACTCTTGTCTGCTTGAGGCAGGTGTGAATGTTGCAATTGGCCAGCTTGATTAGCTTCATTTGCTTCAAAGCCTGACTGCTTCCTGGGTGAAATGTCAGGTGGGAATGCTTCTGGAAACATGGCCATGCAGTCCGGAAAACTCACAGCAACATAATAATAATAATAACAACAACAATAATAATCCAATACAACAGCCAGAAGATTAATAATAATAATAATAATAATAATAATAATATAATCCAATACAACAGCCAGAAGATATTATTATTATTATTATTATTATTATTATTATTATTATTATTAATAGAATTATAGACAGGAAAAGAGACTCAAAAACTGTGGCATAGACACCGAGAACCAGAAAGCCCTGGCCCTTGAGCACTCTAACTGGAGGTCAGCTGTGACCAGCAGTGCTGCAGAATTCAATGAGGCACGAATGTAGGGTAAAAGGGAAAAACATGCCAAGAGGAAGCCAACCCTGACCGGGACCGCCTTACATCTGGAAACTGATGTCCTCACTGCGGGAGAACATGCGGATCAAGAATAGGGCTTCACAGCCACCTACGGAGCCACCACCAAGACACCACATCAGGAAGACAATCATTCTCAAGCTACGAGGGATCGCCTAAGTAAGTAAATACACAGTAAACAAGATCACTCTGCTGGCTGTTGTATTGGATCACACGTTGGACACTTCTCAATTGTCTAGGACTGTGTGATGTATCGGTGAATAATGTGTGCGGATCCGAGTGGGGTGGCCTTTTGCAGCTGACAGATGGTAATTTTGTCAGAGCAAATTGTTTTTAAGTGCAGGCCAAGGTCCTTAGGCCCTGCACCCAGTGTGCCGATCACCACTGGGACCACCTTGACTGGCTTGTGCCAGAGACCCCCAAAGATCATCCAGTCCAACCCCTTCCTGCCAGGAACGGTTTGCGCCAGACTGGGAGATGGTGCCCTTCCTCCCCTTCAGACATAGAGTTGGAAGGGACTCCCAAAGACAATCTAGGCCGACACCCTTCTGTGATGTAGGGAGACACAATCAAAGCCCTCCTGACAGATGGCCGCCCATCTCTGCTTAAAAACTACATCAAACTTACACATTACATATAGAGCAGACATGGGCAAACTTGGGCCCGCCAGGTGTTTTGGATTTCAACTCCCACAATTCCTAACAGCCTACCGGCTGTTAGGAATTGTGGGAGTTGAAGTCCAAAACACCTGGAGGGCCCAAGTTTGCCCATGCCAGTTTCGGACACTATCCCTCTATTGATGCAGCCTGGAATCGTATTGGCCTTGTTAGCTGCTGCGTCACCCTGTTGCCCCAGATTCAGCTTGTGCTGTAATGCAACTTTCGCATATACATCTTTTGAAAAAGCTTTCACCTGGCATAATTCGAAATAATAAAACATATTTCTTATATCCATCCTGAGACGTAGGATTACAATCAATGCTTGTGTGGCCGCCTTCTCCCCCGACGACTATATAAAAATCATAAAAAGAGACAACCTATAAGACGAAGCATCATTTCCAGAGCGCGTGAAATCACTCTTGTGTTTGATACAGGGCATCCGAAAATTGCCATTTCAACACAACGTCAAAGAAAGGCACAACGGAGCGGCAATAAAGAGAGATGGATCGTACTCCACGGATAACACAACCCAGAACGCGTTTCGCCCGTGTGTGCTTTTTGCCAACCCACCGACGCCTCTCCCTGACTATTTCTTCTTTGATATAAATAGCTTGCAGTATAGTAAATTCAATTTGGGAGGAAGGCAAACGCTAAAAACAACCTTCGGCGGCAAATGCGTCATCCGGCTGCTATAATGGGAGCTGTGGCAAAAAAAAAAAAGGGTCTGGGGGTGAAGGCATGAGTCGCAGATACTTTATTGAATGACGCCAGGATTCGAACCTGAGTCATGGAGCGAACGGGAAGGCAGGCAATCAACAAGCTGTTATTGATGCCTTTCGCACGGAGCAATGGATGCCACTGGCATGCTGATCACACGCAGTTTTTTCCCCAACTAATCTGAATAGATCCTGGTATTGTCTCTTCAAGGGTGCAGCGACAATGCAGTTTGACACCAATTTCATCACCACAGCTCAAAGGTATTGGATCTTGGGAGTTGTAGTTTGCACCCTTGCATTGTCAGAGAAGGCGCCAGGCCTTGTCAAACTACAACTTCCAGGGTTCCATAGCCTTGAGCCATATAAGTGCAAGGAGTGTCACAGCACTACATTAATGTATTGTTGAAGTCTTTCATGGTCAGAATCTTGCTGGAACACCTCAGCAAGCGAGAGTCCAAAAGTGACAGGCGCAAACCCAGAACCTCAACCAATGGCTGATACCAAATGAGAGACTCCCCCCTGGGCACAGTCAAGGTGGTCCCATTGGTGGGCAACTTGGAAGGTGCTGAACAGACTGTGCTCTGGCACAACGAGATGCAGAGCCAATCTTAAGAAATGGGGCTACAAAGTGGAATCCATGACATGCGAGTGTGGAGAAGAGCAAACCACTGACCACCTGCTGCAATGCAACCTGAGCCCTACCACATGCACAATGGAGGACCTCCTTGCGGCAACACCAGAGGCACTCCAAGTGGCCAGATACTGGTCAAAGGACATTTAATCAACTACCAAGCTTGTAAATTTTGTGTTTTGTCTGTTTGTTTTGTTAGAAATGTAATATAATTGTCTGGTTGCCCCTGACATGATAAATAAATAAAATGGTCAGAATCACTGAGTTGCTGTAAGTTTTCTGGGCTGTATGGCCATGTTCCAGAAGTATTCTCTCCTGACCTTTCGCCTGCACCTCACAACCTCTGACAATGCCTGCCCTAAATGCAGGCGAAACGTGTCCAATTCTGGGCACCTCAACTGAAGAGAGATATTGACAAGCTGGAATGTGTCCAGAGGAGAGCGACTAAAATGATCAAGGGTCTGGAGAACAATCCCTATGAGGAGTGGCTTAAAGAGCTGGGCATGTTAAGCCTGAAGAAGAGAAGGCTGAGAGGAGGCATGATAACCATTTATAGATATGTGAGAGGAAGCCATAGGGCGGAGGGAGTGAGGTTGTTTTCTGCTTCCCTGGAGATTAGGATGCGGAACCATGGCTTCAAACTACAAGAAAGGAGATTCCATCTGAACATCAGGAAGAAGTTTCTGACTGTGGGAGCTGTTCAGCAGCGGAACTCTCTGCCCCCTGAGTGTGATGGTGGCTCCTTCTTTGGAGGCTTTTAAACAGAGGCTGGATGGCCATATGTCGGGGGGTGCTTTGAATGCAATTTTCCTGCTTCTTGGCAGAATGGGGTTGGACTGGATGGCCCACGAGGTCTCTTCCAACTCTATGATTCTATGAATGCTTCTGGAACATGGCCATACAGCCCAGAAAACTTACAGCAACCCTGTACATTAATGCACTTTAACTTCCATGGCTCAATGCTATGGAATACTGGGATGTGTAGTTTGGGGAAGTGATAGGCCTCTTTGTGGAGAAGGCAACCTTGTGATGACGCTGTATCCCGTCTTGAGTCACAAGGAGAAGCGAGTAATAAGTGCATTATTATTATTATTATTATTGTTGTTGTTGTTGTTGTTGTTGTTGTTGTTATTATTATTATTAGATACACAACAGGATTAGTACACAACAAACCAGATAATGATGATGGCTTTTGTATTGGGTCATGCATCGGACACTTCCCAAGTGTCTAGGACTGTGTGATGTATCGGCAAATAATGTGTGCAGATCCAAGTAGGGTGGCCTTTTGCAGCTGGTAACTTTGTCAGCGCTGATTGTTTTTAAGTGCAGGCCAAGGTCTTTAGGCACTGCACCCAGTGTGTCGATCCCCACTGGGACCACCTTGACTGGCTTGTGCCAGAGTCTTTGCAGTTTAATCTTTAAATCCTCATATCGTTTAAGCTCTTCCAGTTGCTTCTCGTCAATGTTGCTGTCACCTGGGATTGCAACAGCAATGATCCATATTTGGTTTTTTCCACAATCGTGAGGTCAGGAGTCTTGTGCTGAATTTGGAAATCCTAGAGTAGTTTGACGTGTTCATTTTCTGTAACTTTTTCCGGCTTGTGATCCCACCAGTTCTTTGTCACAGCAGATGGTGTTTGTGGCACAAGTTCCAATGGATCATCTGAGCAACGGTGTTGTGCCTCTGCTTGTTGTCCATCTGCGTGATCTTGCAGCAGCTGAGTGTGTGAGCTATCATTTCATCTGCTTCCTTGCAGGGTCTACACTTGGAATCTGTCGTCAATTTTTCAATTTTGGCTTTGATGGCATTGGTTCTAATGGCTTGTTGTTGTTTTTGTGTG